CACACACACACACACACACACACACACTCAGGCCTCATAAGATCCCCAGGGCCACCCCGTGATGGTGTGGCTATTCAAGATTCTGAGCAACAATCAATGATGGAGGAGAGTGGAGAGGTTTGGGAGTGAGAGTGAGGACGGAGGACCTGTGAGTTCAAGGCTCCATTCAATACCTGCTCATCCCACAGGGATTTGGGAGAAGGAGCGAGGTTAGGCAGAAGGTGACAGGAGCTCTGATTGCTGGTTCCTCTGTGACACCGGAGGAAATCACTCTTGATTTCTCTCTGTCCATCTGTCAGTTTATGCCTTTCTGACTGAGCCTTTATCCATTTGTAATAATTTTCTTTGGCTTTTGCTATTTATCGCACAGGTTCTTTGTTTTTTTATTTTTATTTTTTCCCACAATCCTACTTTTATCAGTGTCTACCTTAGATGGTCACACTAATCTCTACTGAGCCACAGATTTTTATAATCGGCAGGTGTTAAATCCTTGTAGTACTAACTGGATTAGCAGTGTAATCCTTTGACGTGTTTTTAAGAGGGATTTAAAGAGTTGGCTGTTATTTCATCTTAACTAGTGATTAATGCTGAAGGTTGCTTAACGGAAAATGCAAATTTAGTAGGGAGTAGTCATAAAAAACAAAACAATAAATAGGTCCTAATTAGTTCTAGATTTCTTAAGCTTATAAATTGCATATTTCAGCTTAATTAAACATTTTAAAACTAAGTTTGTTTTTTTAATTGTTAACAAAATAAACTGTTTTTTTCTTTTTAAATATTTCTAAACTTTTGTGCATTGTTCATTTGTTTGCCATGTTTGCATATTTCATGAAGCAGGGAATTTTGTACATCAGCAATACTGCAATACGGGAGAGCACAAAGACACATTTAACAGGAAATACTGTATAAGATGAATAGAGAAACATTTCTGTGGACCACAAAGCCATTTTTGGACTGGACTCATCTTTTACAAAACAATGTAAAAGATACATTTTTGATGCTTTTATTCAGTCGTTTGAGATAGACAATGGTGTCAGTGATAAATCCAGCTAATATCTGATACCTGCAGTCATCTACATGAATTTTTCAGTGTTTCAGTCACGTTTATTGTCAACTTCACTGTTTGGAGGAATAACATTTACATTTTAAAGATACCAAAACACATATTTCACCTTTTAAACTTACAAAACATAATTGCAGTCGCAAAATGTCATGTGGGGGCAATAAAAAGGTTTATGCTTTTCAAACAATTTATTAATTTAGTTTTAATAATTAAGAAAGACTCAAAAAATAATCATCTGTTCACCCACATTGTAGGTTAACCGTGAATAATTGATCTGTAATAGGTTTTGCTGATGGCTATCTTGAATTTTAGGCAGTTTTTTTCTAGGTTAACCCAGCTTTAGCCGGTATCCACATGTGCAATCATCAGAACGGAGGTCCATAAAGAAGGTCAGTTGTTGGGTTATTGATAGCGAGGTCTGAACAGAGTCACGGAGGTTGAAGAGGCCCCAGCGCCTCCGCTCCCCTGCCGCACTGTGCTGAAACAGCAGGCTTAGGTTACAGTCGTCCTCAAGCAGCTGAACTCTCTTCCCACCTCCAGCTGCAGCCTGCTCAAAGCGCCTGCCCTCCACCTCTCCTCCCAGTCCCGTGCTCTTTTATTGTTCCACTTTACACGGCTCTGATCTGCCAGCCTGTAGAGAGGCTTCCCTGACCTGCGTGCAAACACACATAACATGCGTGTTTCATCAACGCTGATAAGAGCAGGGGAGGTGGACTGCATATGTAGTAACATGGGCAGAGGTCCTCGCTCTTGTCAGATGCATACGGTTAACAAATCAATTAGCACCTGAACCCAAGACAAATCTGGTTTAGGTTGGTTTCCAAATGAGATTTTCTGCTCATTCTGCATGCTGCTTTTATTACCGTTTTATGGATGTTAAATGGTTGTTGTTGTTTTTTTCAGGTTGTTGCCATGCTTTTAAAACTAAAAAGCACAGGATTACTTGATCATTATGAGATGATTTTCCTCTCTCACTACAGATAGTAACACTTGTAGTTTTTTACTTTAAAAATGTGAGTAATCAAACCTACTTATACATATTCCTGATGGCTATTTCCTATTCTCCCCAGGCTTCTCAGTCACACCATGAAGGACCATCTGGTTCGTGTTGCTAATGAAGCTGAATTCATCCTGAGCAGACAGAGGGCTGAAGACATACATAAACATGCAGAATTTGAGGTAAGTTAATACAGTAATTCAGATTGGTAATTATAGCTACGCCAGGAAAGTGAATTAAAAGATCAGAATAAATATTGAATGTAAAAGTAATAAAACCAATATTTTTTGCAGGTAAATCAGCACATTTGATCAGATGTTTGTGACATAGAAAGAAATAAATAAGAATAAAGTTTGCAAAATAAATTTTGTGGGGGGAAAAAAACTGTATTATTTGTCTGTGGTGATCATGTGTGCCACATGTCACCAACCACTGTGTAGTGTTTATTTGTCCTTGCACCTCTTGCTCGATCTGCAGACTTGCCCCCCCACCAAAAAAAAAAACAAAAAAAAAAAAACACTTCTCCTCTTCCTCCTGCCAGTTGTTACAAATGCTGCCATTTCGCTGGCAGCTGCTGGACCAGCTCTGTTCCGACACCAGCACCGCCACGTGCTGCTCTCTTCCCGCTCAAACGTTGCTACCCCTCTGTCCTCTGCTTTCTAGATCTCACCAAGATGATTTCCTGTCCTGCTGAGATCATGTCCATTATACTCCCAGTGGGGGTGTATTTTGATGGTGACAAGGATACAGCAGCATCCTCCTCCTTTTTATCGCTCCCTCACTCAGTTCTCTGAAACTTGCCAGTACTAAAAGATGGAGACAGACCTGAGAGGACTGACTTTGTGTAAACCCATCACACCTCACCCACCTTACTGTAAAAAAACAATGATTTTACTCCACAAGATTTAAAAATGACTGTTGGAAGGAAATTTACAAATCTCTATTATTAGTAGTATTTATTTTTTGTATAGGCTCCTTATATTTTATTTTTATTCACTCTGCTTCAGGTTTCAGCCATTTGCAGTTTGTAATCTGTCCCTTCAACATAAACACTGCTGAAATGTGTTTATTATACAAATCATGCAATTTCTTGTCTTTCTGTTAGCGAAATATTTCCTGAATCACAGTTTTAGTTAAATCCTCAAATAAGGATCACTGAATATACATTAACTTTAAAGTCAACCCAATTAAAGGTGGCAATCGCAGCTAAACATTCTTAGCAAACACAAAAGCACCTCTGGCTCAGTTCATTTTACAGATGTTGAGCTAAATGTTGGTGTGGTTGTGGCTGAGGGTCATCCTCATCACACAAATCACAGTTTGCATTTACTGTTACTTTGTGACGTGCAAACGTACAACCAGAGGGAAGGTCAACATTTTCCCCTTTACTTTTGTACCTCAGGGTTGTAACTTTTTACCTCCGCCTACCTTTTCAGTGTTTCCTTCCTAATCAGATATCGAGCACCGCACGTCCCAAACTATGTTTCACAATTGAATTCCTCACTTAAATGCAGTTGCTCCTCTGTGACCTCTGAGAAGAAGTGAGCCTCTGATAAGTCTTGCTCTGATATTGCTGTATTGATTTTTGCCTCCATACAAGCTCCGTTTGAGGCTGCTGAAGCCAACGGTTTCATTTTGCACTGCCACAATAAAAATAACAGGCCAATGAAACACCCCCCCCCCACCCCCCACCTCAGGGGGTAGAGGCTGGAAGGTTTTGAAAAAGAAAATTTCATCCATGTCCTGGTTTTAAAATATCGTTCTACTACAGTGAAGAACGAGAGTTTATTATTGTTATTGTTGGGGGAAAAAAAAGAAACTACACAGGCCACCACAATGTCACATTTTTGATGTCATTGATGCTCCTGAAGTAAGGAAGATGTGCACAGCATGATCTGCAAACAAAGCAACAAATTTCAACTATCCCCTAAAATGGAAATAATTCAAAATATTAAAGCAAATTTATGTTTCTTTCTTGTCAGATTTCATATCTTAGAAGGCGTTGATAGAGGGGCCTTTTGATTTAGATACTGGTTTCCCTCAGAGACAAAACATATGCTTTTCCCCTCTCGCTGTCTCTCTCTGTTTCTCACTCACACTCTCGCCAGGCTCTCTGTAGAGCAGAATTGAGTTATCTTTGGCCCTGAGAGTAAGTTATTACAGTGGGCTTAGGGTGAAACAGAGATGAAGATAACTAGGGGGAAATCCAATTACCTTTTAGGGTTCTCTATCTAATAGGATCCTTAATGTGAAGGAGATCTGCAGATCGGATGCTGCGGCCCCGCACACCAAATGATGGACTGATACCTCGCAGAGAAGAGGGACAGAACCCAAGAGATAGAAAGAAGAGAGAAATCGAACTCGCTCTTTTTATGGCGCTGTTCATTAGGGATGAAATGTGGTGGGCTCAGGGGCACAAGGGCAGATAAGAAGGTTCAGATAGCAAAGAGTGAGCAGGACCCGAGTCATTTCTATTCTTTCTTGCCTCACCTTTCCTTTCTGCACAGCTTTTTTCTTTCTTTCATATAGCCCCTTGATTCATCCTCTCCTGTTATATGGAGTAATTGAATTGACCATTGGAGGGGTCCTGTGAAAGCCACATGATAGCAGCTAATTAGTGCACTCTGCCTTAGTGTTTCCTCTGCTGAGCTTGTAAAACCAACCGGCCCTTCTCCTCGTGTTAATGACGTTAACATTGAGTTGAAACTCAGTATATTGTGTTATCATAGTCCTGGTCATCTCATTAAAAACCAAAGGAAGTACAGAGCTAGAGTAAAGTGTCCAGGGAAAAAGAAATACAAGAATTTAACTGCAGTGTTTGTTTGTACATACATGCAAGCATAACATTTTACAAAATACAACACATCTTTATATAATTCAGGTTTTAGCTATTCATATTTCAAAAAAAATTATTCCATTGTTTTCACAGTTTTAAACCGTTGGAAAGCCTTTTAATGTCCTTTTTAAATGGTGCCACATTTTTAAGGAGCATGCATTTGTGGGATGAGCAGTAGCACTGAGTTTGTGGGTTGCACACATGAAAATACTTCCATATCTTTTCTGCCAACAGCTTTTGCTGTTGCTATTGACTCTTGTTTTGAGCTTCTGGTACTCTCAGGTGCTGTTTATCAGGTGCCTGGTTTAAGATTTATAATCAAATACCATATATCATCATTTATAATTATAATTGATATAAGCCAAGAAGCCTTGTTACAACAAATAAATTGTCCACCAAACACAAATTTCACCTAAAGTGTTTTATTTATTTATTTATTTATTTATTTATTTATTTATTTATTTATTTATTTATTTATTTATTTATTTATTTATTTATTTATTTATTTATTTACTTTTGCTGCAATTGAATTTTTTTAGTGCAGAAATGTCAATATTGCATAAGGACTTTATTTTATGTCTAAAATGAAGTGGTTGGACCATTGTTTGAATCTTTATTTGGCTGCATTTACATAAAAAACAACTTGTAACTGTTTGATTAATCTATGAATTTTGAGTAACAATCAATAGTTAAAAAATGTTAGCCTATACAGTGGGGAAAATAAGTATTTAGTCAGTCACCAATTGTGCAAGTTCTCCCACTTAAAAAGATGAGAGAGGCCTGTAATTGACATCATAGGTAGACCTCAACTATGAGAGACAAAATGTGAAAAAAAATTTGAGAAAATCCTTTTGTCTGACTTAAAGAATTTTTTTGCAAATAATGGTGGAAAATAAGTATTTGGTCAATAACAAAAGTTCATCTCAATACTTTGTTGTATATCCTTTGTTGGCAATGACAGAGGTCAAACGTTTTCTGTAAGTCTTCACAAGGTTGGCACACACTGTTGCTGGTATGTTGGCCCATTCCTCCATGCAGATCTCCTCTAGAGCAGTGATGTTTTGGGGCTGTGGACGGGCAACACGGACTTTCAACTCCCTCCAAATGTTTTCGATGGGGTTGAGATTGGGAGACTGGCTAGGCCACTCCAGGACTTTGAAATGTTTCTTACGAAGCCACTCCTTTGTTGCCCTGGCAGTGTGCTTGGGATCATTGTCATGCTGAAAGACCCAGCCACGTTTCATCTTCATTGCCCTTGCTGATGGAAGGAGGTTTGCACCCAAAATCTCACAATACATGGCCCCATTCATTCTTTCATGCACACGGACCAGTCGTCCTGGTCCCTTTGCAGAGAAACAGCCCCAAAGCATGATGTTGCCACCCCCATGCTTCACAGTTGGTATGGTGTTCTTTGGATGCAACTCCGCATTCACTTTCCTCCAAACACGACGAGTTGTGTTTTTACCAAATAGTTCTACTTTGGTTTCATCTGACCATATGACATTCTCCCAATACTCTTCTGGAACATCCAAATGTTCTCTAGCAAACTTCAGACGTGCCTGGATATGGACTGGCTTAAGCAGGGGGACAAGTCTGGCACTGCAAGATCTGAGTCCCTGGCGTCGTAGTGTGTTGCTGATGGTAGCCTTTGTAACATTGGTCCCAGCTTTCTGCAGGTCATTCACTAGATCCCCCCTTGTGGTTCTGGGATTTTTCCTCACCGTTCTTGTGATCATTTTGACCCCACGGGCTGAGATCTTGCGTGGAGCCCCAGATCGAGGGAGATTAGTAGTGGTCTTGTATGTCTTCCATTTTCTGATTATCGCTCCCACAGTAGATTTCTTCACACCAAGCTGCTTGCCTATTGCAGATTCAGTCTTCCCAGCCTGGTGCAGGTCTACAATTCGGTTTCTGGTGTCCTCCGACAGCTCTTTCGTCTTCACCATAGTGGAGTTTGGAGTGTGACTGTTTGAGGTTGTGGGCAGGTGTCTTTTATACTGTTAACGACTTCAAACAGGTGCCATTAATACAGGTAATGAGTGGGGGAAAGAGGAGCCTCTTAAAAAAGAAGTTACAGGTCTGTGACAGCCAGAAATCTTGCTTGTTTGTAGGTGACCAAATACTTATTTTCCACCATTATTTGCAAAAAAATTCTTTTAAAGTCAGACAAAATGATTTTCTCAATTTTTTTTCACATTTTGTCTCTCATAGTTGAGGTCTACCTATGWTGTCAATTACAGGCCTCTCTCATCTTTTTAAGTGGGAGAACTTGCACAATTGGTGACTGACTAAATACTTATTTTCCCCACTGTATGTTCCTAAATTTGTCCTCAAGAACAAAAGGAG